ATAATTTATTTTTAGATGCATTTATATTTTATACAGGGAATTATATTATTAATAATAATGTATAATTTAATAGTTTTGGCGTAAAAATAAATTGCATTATTTACTTTATTAAATATTTGTAATTAAAGTATGTTTACAACGTTGTAAATAATAAATAATAGCACATAGACTGTATATTCACAATAGTAAAATAAGTATAGTGAAATCGTTTTTACAGTAAATTAAAGAAGTATAGTGGCAATGCATTTTCTTACTTTTGCAACGCGTCGTATGACGTTTGATATCGACGCACAAGACAATGAGCTAATCACGTGATTATAGCGTAGTGACAACGTTGTTTTAAAAAATGAAGCTTCTGCAATGAAAGTTCATTACCTGAATATTTCGTTGCAATTACGACATTGACCGCTTACCAGAACGAAACGTATTCCCCAAGAAAACGTTCGCTATAAATCAATTAAAGAATTTCATTAATTGATTATTTAGTTGTTTAATATTCTTTATATACTTACTTCACCAAAGTTGTAACTGCAGGCGGTATCTAAAAGAAACATAATCATGTCGTTAAAGTATGTTCTTAGTATGACTACAGCTAAAATAATAAATAAAAATTTACCAATAAAGTTCCCGCCTTTTTCAAAATAATGATCAAAAAATTTTTATGATTTCTCATAATTAGAACCTAATCCCTATTTATAAGTTATAATGTTAAATAATTTAAAGACCTTTTTTTTTTACTTCTTGTTTTTAATATACTGCATAAACTTACCCATGATTCACCAAAAGTCTAAACGGATCATTCATCGCATTAAATACGATATAACGATTATAAAACCATAATTTACGTTTAATTTTGGCCAAATTTATGAAATAAATATTACCACATAACGGAGAAACTCTTAATCTATTATTACCCAATAAAACATAATCATCGAGAGCACTACCGGTTTTGATGGGGAAGAAGTGTCTTTAGCCATTTTATCAAAAAAAAAAAAAAATTTTGATATCATCAAAACAGATAATGAAATTTGTGTTCATTGATTAAAAATTAAAATGATTCAGATGATGTTCCCACGAAGAATGTTATGTAATATTTATTTATTTAAAAAAGAATCGTTACGTAACGGTTCTACAGGAATAAAGATTCACCAGCGGTGATATTTAGCCTGTCTCTTATACACATCTAGATGTGTATAAGAGACAGCATCAAAACAGATAATGAAATTTGTGTTCATTGATTAAAAATTAAAATGATTCAGATGATGTTCCCACGAAGAATGTTATGTAATATTTATTTATTTAAAAAAGAATCGTTACGTAACGGTTCTACAGGAATAAAGATTCACCAGCGGTGATATTTAGCAATTTTCTCGTTTATTTTATTTTCATATTAGAAAATTTCTAAACATCGCTTGGGCGATCATCGCCTTTACCAGCATTAGGGCAGACGCCGCCCAAAATGCCATCCTAATGCTGGTAAAGGCAATGTTTAGCAATACCCGACCTATAGATGTAGCAAAAGCAAAAGTGCAAAACACAACAAATGAAAATTTGTGTGACTTCATTTTCACTAACCCTATAAAAAAGATTCTAGGAAAACTTATTTATTTTATTCTAAAGAGTGGTTATAGATATAAAATTCCGGAAAAACTCATCATTTTTCTAGTTTTTATTCCGAAGAAACTCAGATCATTTAAAAATTTTTTATAGGGATAATCTCAACAGAAATTAACTTGATAGTTATTTACCTGATTCTGTTTTACCTACTTTAATTTCGTCAAAATCTTATTATATAGGAATAAGTTCTTCTTTACCCTAAAACTTTGAATTACTGTGTATGCTCTGCTACTTCACTTTGAGAGGGAAATCATCTATTAAAGAAAGAAATAAAATTACATAAGTAATCACCTACAACTCATTCTACTCAAGAAGTATTATAAGAATATAACTATCTCAAGTAATCACTCACTCACCAGTAGTATATACATGGCCACACCTACCACCTTTACTTCTCCTCCAACTCACCTATTATCCAAGACTTCTAAGAATTTCCGATCCCATCACTTAATTACGTCACTTGCATCATCGGGACTTATCGCCGTTTTCAAAATAGTGTACGCAATTTATTTGTGATTGTATATTCGAATACCAATATTCGCCCGGTTTTCGTCCGTTTTTTGTCCATATTTCGTCCGGTTTTCGTCCGGTTTTCAGTTTTCTTTTTTTTTTTATTCAATTTAACTGAATACATCATTTTGAAAACGGCGATAATTATCAGGGATGGAAGCCAATCTTTTATAAGAAACTTTATAAGATTAGCTCTACCATTTAAACTTGTGAGATAATTGGTAAAGAAAAACCACTAAAAAGAATAAAGTTGACTTAAGCAATCACTCACACACAGTATACTCACACTTACACGTCCACGACTCCACACCCACTTTTTTAAAAAGGATTCCGTGATATGCTTGAAATATAATAATTAGGGTATTGCTAAATATCACCAGTGGTGACGGTCACCAGTGGTGGATTTATGATGTAATACCAGTCAAGTGTTTTATTAGATTTTAATTCAGGCCAAAAGTGCATCATAATGCTAGTATGGTGACAATCACCGCTGGTGAGCTTTAGCAATTGTCTAATAATTAACCGTTCTTTTGTCTTTTTTTTTTAGCATTTCGGCCTGGATCTCTCCCGGTAAATAGGTCGTGCTATGGTGTCTATAGTGTTGGTTTTTTCTCCTAGATACTAACCATTCTCTTTTCTTTTTTTAATAGGAATAGATTAATGGTTTTTTGAGAATAGGTAAAGATAATTTATATAATGTGTAACGTATAAATTTATTGGCTTTTGTGTTGGTTACATTTACACATCTACGTAAATTTTAACTACCGTAAATCTAGTGGTTATCACATAATATATAAATCTATTAATTTTACTCCAATTGAAAATTCCAGATATTGATATAGTATCTTCAAATTTTACTTACAAATATGATTTTTTTTAACCAAATTCAAGCATTATTGGCCAAATTTTATAAGAAGTTTAAGTTAATTATTGAGCGATGAAATATGGAATTCCGTAAAGTAAGCAAAAAATTAATGAGGCGCGGGTACACCAGTCTCAATAAACTTAATTGGTTAAATTATAATTGTTGCTTTTTGTAAAAACTGATTTATTCGATAAATATGATATGCCAAGAAATCAATATATATTTCGTCCTTTTGAAGACAAGTAACTTTGGTGGATTTGATGGAGAATGTTATAATTTTAACTTTTAACCTAATTTGTTATAATAAAAATTGGATAAGCTGCTTTTAAAAATATCAATTTAAAAAAGAATACATTTCATTATTTTTATTTTAGGACTCGTTGATGTCTTGATGAATTCACCCTCAATATAGTTTCACAATATATTATATTCTTATAATATGATTTTTCAAGGCTATGCAGAATTATTTTTTTTTATCTCATTACATTCCCGATGGTGCAAGTAATTTTTGAATTATAAGCGCGCAAATAATTATATATGATTTATTAGATGTTATATCGTTATCGTTATTAACTGTTTATATAGAAGCTGGTTTATTAATTAGTATATCAACTTACAGTGAACTTAGTCCTTAGAAAAGCAAGTACACCTATGGTATTATTGATGGGAAAAATGAAGCATTAAAGAGTAAGATTTAATTATATTATTTGCCTTACAATATACTAATTTTTTTTTAAGCTTTGATATTATGAAGAAGTTAAATTATTGCCTAGAGAAAATTTGAAGCAAATATTTTATCATTTTAGAGAAATAAACACAAAAATTAATTATTTGCGTGAAATATTAAACCGAAGATAATTATTAGGTATTTAATCAAAATTTAACAAACAATCACCATCAGAACGAGTGAAAATACAGTTATTAAACGTTTCAACTTTGTAATAAATTTAATTTTTTTCACAATGGACACATGATATAATTTATATTATAATTTGTTTAGGTATTTAGAAATTGTCAAAAAAAAACTAGGAAGGCTTTATTGTCGTACGTACATCATCACGTGTCGGAAATTCGTATAAGAATTCAGTCTGGACAATTATTTTCATCGATTGATGAAAAATTTTTTTACAATTAAACATTTAACAATGAAAACAAATATAAGGTGCGTAATTTTATAATCAGCAATGACTTTTTTATAATCAACTCTACTTTAAAGGTATAAAGCTACTAAATAATACGTTCTTATACTAACTATAAAAAGGTTTAACGAACTACTTTTTTAATCTTAATATATGTCCCGTTATATTTTTTTTATTTTTTTAGTCTTATTATTATTTTTTTTTTTTTAAGAATTATTATCTTATTTTGCAATACTATTTTAAACACAATGTATGTAGTAAAGAAAAAAATCATAATAGCTACTGAATTAAGAATTAAGAAATAATGCAATATTTTTACGATGTTATAATTTTTATTAAAAAAAATTTTCATATTTCAATGTCCACCTGATAGTGCTTCGATCCGTAGCGGTTTTATCCGGATTTTCATCCGGATTGAATTTCATTAAATTTCGCTGGCACTATGAGTTTGGCCAGAATTAGTATAAATTTTTGGGATAATAATACTTTAATGTTGGTTTAAATTATAGTCTGTTTAAATCTGAAATTCATAATCTTTCTCAGCCATAATCGTCACATGAAAATATTCAAGTTTTCATCCGGATCGAAGCACTACCACCTGATGTTACATATAGAATGTTCTGATCGACATTCTTCTTAATCGGCATAGACAAAAAAGGTGAGATTGTCACCGATCAAATTTGGAAATTGCCCGGACTAATAATTAACTAAATTAACTAAATATGGCAAAGATGGTCTGTTACAAAATTAATTTTGTGAATGAAAAAAGGTAACCTAAAATTAGGAAACAAGACGTATAATTTAATTAGCAGTTTTGGGTTTATTTTTAAAACTTTTTAGATATATTTTTAAAACCCTTTAAGAAAAAAATGTCAAAAGATACCAAAAAAGATTTAAATTACTATATAAACTGGTTAGAGAGATCAATTGATGATGAAAACATCAAACTATATGAATATTCAGACTTCAAAAATATTCAACCGATAGGAAGTGGTTCGTACGGGATTGTTTATCGTGTTAATTGGAAAAGCTCTAATCGTTTTTTCGCCTTGAAATCTTTTATTAATAATAACGATAAACAAACTCTCAGAGAAGTTATAAAAGAGGTACGTATATTTTTTTACAGTTATTATCCGAAAAGTTAAATAAAAAAAAAATTAAAATCATACTTTTAGTTAAAATTACACCGAAGTGTTGATTATCATGAAAATATAATACGGTTATATGGAATCACAAAGGTAGAACTCGGTAAGTATTAAACAAATGTTATATATTATACAATAAAGTCTTTTTTCTTGTTATTAAAATTGTTTTTTTATTTAGACGCAACCCAAAAGTACTCTTTTGTAATGGAATACGCTAATAACGGCACATTAAATACGTATTTAAACGAGCATTTTAGTGAACTCGATTGGACGGACAAATATCAATTAGCGTCGCAACTGGCTAGTGCTGTAGAATTTTTACATGAAGAAGATATTATTCATCGTGATTTGGTATTAAGAATTTTCTTATTCTATTTCGATTTATCGTAGTTTATTATAAAAGATTAATATAATTTTCTTATTTATAATTAAAGCATGGAAATAATATACTCATACATCAAAAAAGTATTAAATTAGCAGACTTCGGTTTGTCAAAAAAAATTGTTGAAGCGTCGTCAAGCGATGCGTCAAAAATTCTTGGTGCAATACCTTATATAGATCCGAAAAAGTTTAACGATCAAAACTATGAATTAAAAAAAAATTCTGATGTGTATAGCATTGGAGTTTTATTGTGGCAAATATCAAGTGGGTATAAGCCTTTTTATAAAGTTGATCATGGTGCAAATTTAATTTTATCTATATTAAATGGTAAACGAGAAGAAATTATTGATGGAACATCTGATAAATATAGTAACTTATATACGGGTAATGTAATAATCAATTAAATTTTTATATTTTATTTTTATAAGAACATTTAATTTATTTTTTTTAAAATTGGTTAGAATGCTGGAGAGATGAACCGAATAAACGCCCAAATATACAGGAAATTGTTTCAACTCTTGAATCATTAATCTCTCATGTTGAAATAGGTACAATAATTAATCATATTTATGAAAAAAAAGAAATCCATTCAATGGAATATGAAATAAATCCGGAATTTACTAAAGAAACTATATATTTATATAATGAATTAATATCAAATGATGAACTAAATATATCATCTGATTCAAACAAGGAAATCAAAGATTCAATTAATGAAATAATAATATCAAAAGATGAATCAAATATTATAACAGAATATGAAAATAGAACGGTTTCGAGTCAAAAATATGAAAATCCATCAAATGCAAGTGTAACAGAACAAGTACGGTGTACCGTTTGAACGAAAAGTGCCAAAATTTCGAAAAATTGATTTTTCGATTTTTGAATTTTCAAAATCTCCTTATAAGGAGATTCTCCTTATAAGGAAAATCTCCTTTTATGGCAATGTAACGTTACACAAATGTCCAAATAAGGAAGTTAGTG